TCTCTTATCTCCAAAGTAATTACTGTCTGTTTAGATGATTACCTGTAATTACTTGTTAGCTGTCAGCATCAGACAGAAATACGGCTTTTGAGACATAAGAAGGAAGACAGGGAGGTGGAGGAAGGTGGGTTTGGAGGTAAAGTTGGATCGGGCAGAGGTGCCAAGGTGACAGGAGGAGGTGGAGGAGCTGGAGGAGACGTGATAGAAAAGGAGCGCTGCACTGGGAGTAGCAGGAGACGGAGGAGGGGGAGGAGGAGCTGGGGACAGAGAGCAAAGTGTTGACATGTGTTTCTGTCAGTCAAGGTCAAGCGGATGTTGTCTCCTCGTTCACTCTGCCGTCCGTCACGGCGTGCTGTTGAATTAAGCTCCCCTTCATCTGTGGAGACGAGGCGGACTCTGACGGCAGCTGTAATTGTAGGGCTACTGATTCACACTGACGACGCCGACACTGTTGTTCCCCAGCAGTCATGTGACCATGAGGTCGAAGTATCCTTGTCATTGTCCCAGTAATAATATGGATGTTAGATAAAAATATATGTTAACAAATATACATTTTAAGTCAGGGAACCAGTCCTAGCATTTAAAGGAACTGAAACTAACTGAAAGTGTGTGGCAGTGACTTCAGCCCAAGTCCTAACCCAGTCCTAACCCAGTCCTAACCCAGTCCATGTTTTCCCTCCTGTTCAGAGCCTTGGCTGTGACACTGCTTGATTGAACTCAGGTGCCGTTCATTTGTTCTGATCATCCTTCAGACGTTCTACTCCTTCACTGGAGTCCAGCTGTGGTTGGTTCTACTGACTGGACTTGGCCTTTATGGCAGAGTGGCCGACGGAAGCCTCTCCTCAGAGCAGGACACACGAAAGAACCCTGTTAAAACCCTGAAGGACGGCGAGATGGTGAGACATAAATACTGAGCAAAGGCTGTGAAAACGTTGGACCATGTGACGTTTCACTGTCTCTTTTTTACTACATCTGCAGAAATGTCAACAATTCTGTGGTTTTCTGTCAATAGGGGGCGCTGTGTGTACATAAATGAGGAAAAACAATGAAATGATTTTAGCAAATGGCTGCAGTATAACAGAGAGTGAAACATTTAAGGTGGACTGAATACTTTCTGTACTCACTGTATTATTTTATGTTTCTAGTGAATAAATCATGGTTTGTTTGTTTTTTTAGACCGATTAAGTGAAACTAGATCATTTTCCACGGCACACCTGATGGTCTGACCACACGGTTATGTGCGGCAGCACGGTGGTTGGGAAATAACTGCTTTACACAGTGCCACCTACAGGCCTGGCATATGTACCACAGGGACTGGAATCATATTGATTTGTTATTTGACAATTACTTCTCAGGGACATTTGAAAGTTTCTAGTTCATCTATTTCTATTTTACAGCCGGGAAACCTTGAAGGAATGGAACCGACAGTCACTGTGTGGCCCAGAAACACCATGCTGGTTCTTTAGGTTCTGTAAACACAGCTTCTTCCCTCATCACCACTTAAACAATGTTTAGATTAAAAACTGCTAATTGTTGCTGTGGGACTGTTAATTATAGCAGGGAACTGTTAATTGTTGCCGTACGGTGGCTTCAGATGAAACGATGTGATGATGACACACACCACACACACCACACACACCACACACACCACACACACCACAAACACCACAAACACCACAAGTGCCAGCCACAAAAACACAGGCTCTCCCTCTCTCTCTCTCCCTCTCTCTCTCTCTCTCTCTCTCTCTCTCTATATATATATATATATGTGATGCTATATCATAAATACCAATTAACAGTTGGGAAATGACATTTTCAGTGTGTGAATGGACTGAAGAAGACTGTAAGGTGAACACAGGGTTGACTGGATAAGAACAATGACAGTGACTGACAGGTCTTTGTGGTCTACACTCTACAGGCGACGTCTGTGATTCACTGATTCATGTTGTACGGTACAGAATAAGGTGAGAGTTTGAAGACAAAATATAAAACCCTGTTTTTACCTTTTGGATTCACTACACGTCTTAGGAATGTTTCAGTTTGACTGGGATTAAATGTTGGTTAAAAAGTATGGAGATGTGGTTCCATATGAGTGTGTATATATGTGTGTATATGTGTGTGTGTATATATATGTATATACACTATAAGTATATATATATGTCTATATATGTATATACACTGTATAAATATATATATATATATATGTATACACTGGAATTAAATTGCAAAACTAAGAAGGACCTCAGCAGTGACAAGGGTTTGGTTTGATATGGTGAACATAAAAGACTAACAGAAGAGAGGACACAGTGATATCACCGTCCTACAGGTCCTGACGCAGGGACAGTACAATGGAGAGACAAATGGACAGAGGAGTGAGGGAGGACGGGGAGATATCTGCCTGTTACAGACGTGGGTTTGAAGACATTAATAAGACTAATAGAGCAGGTTAGCATCATGTGATCATACGTTAGCCTCCACCGCCAAGAGACGAACGGCTACAGTCAGAGCAGGGCTGAAGGTGGGAGTGACGTGAAGTGGCTGGAATATGAACACTGACACTGTCAACTGACACTGACACTGACACTGTCAGTCAGTGTCAGTGTCAGTGCCAGTGTCAGTGTCAGTGTCCGTGTCAGTTCCAGTGTCAGTTCCAGTGTCCGTGGCAGTGTCAGTGTCAGTGTCCGTGTCAGTTCCAGTGTCAGGGTCAGTGTCAGTTCCAGTGTCAGTTCCAGGGTCAGTTCCAGTGTCAGTGTCTGTGTCAGTTCCAGTGTCAGTTCCAATGTCAGTGTCTGTGTCAGTTCCAGTGTCAGTGTCTGTGTCAGTTCCAGTGTCAGTGTCGGTGTCAGTTCCCGTGTCAGTGTCAGTGTCAGAGTCAGTGTCAGTGTCAGTGCCAGTGTCAGTGTCAGGGGCAGTGTCAGTGTCAGTTCCAGGGTCAGTGTCAGTGTCAGGGCCAGTGTCAGTGTCAGTGTCGGTGTCAGTGTCAGTGTCAGGGTCCGTTCCAGTGTCAGTGTCCGTGTCAGTTCCAGTGTCAGTGTCAGTGTCCGTGGCAGTGTCAGTGTCAGTGTCCGTGTCAGTTCCAGTGTCAGTGTCGGTGTCAGTGTCAGTGTCAGCGTCAGTGTCAGTGTCAGTTGACAGTGTCAGTGTCAGTGTCGGTTCCAGTGTCAGTGTCAGGGTCAGTGTCAGTGTCAGTGCCAGTGTCAGTGTCAGTTTCAGTGTCAGTTCCAGTGTTAGTGTCAGTGTCAGTGTCAGCGTCAGTGTCAGTGTCAGTTGACAGTGTCAGTGTCAGTTCCAGGGTCAGTTCCAGTGTCAGTGTCTGTGTCAGTTCCAGTGTCAGTGTCTGTGTCAGTTCCAGTGTCAGGGTCAGTGTCAGTGTCAGGGTCAGTGTCAGTGTCAGGGTCCGTTCCAGTGTCAGTGTCCGTGTCAGTTCCAGTGTCAGGGTCAGTGTCAGTGTCAGGGTCCGTTCCAGTGTCAGTGTCAGTGTCAGAGTCAGTGTCAGTTTCAGTGTCAGTTCCAGGGTCAGTTCCAGTGTCAGTGTCCGTGTCAGTGGCAGTGTCAGTGTCAGTTCCAGGGTCAGTTCCAGTGTCAGTGTCTGTGTCAGTTCCAGTGTCAGTTTCAGTGTCAGTGTCAGTGTCAGTGACGCAGCAGCTCGACTTTATTCCAAAGAAAATCACAGCATGTCATTCTACACAAAAGGATAAAAATGACATATGTTTATAATTAGGTGACAGTGCCCTCTAATGGCCACAGTACTAAGTAAGTTTATAATTCTTTCTCTGCGGCCTGTTACCGACTGACAGACGGACTGGTACCGGTCCACGGACCGAGGGTTGTGCACCCCTGTTCGACAGTGCAGCTTCACAAAAACACATTTGTCTGGATGGGAATTGTTCAGAACAGAGCAGAAACACCCACTGACCAATCATCTGGGTAAGAACACCAGCAGGGGGCGCCACATTGATAATCGACAGGGCACCTAGGATAACCTGCTGGCCTTATTTCAGTTCAGGATGACACCGACGTGTACTCCCTGCAGTATTAACCATGAAATAGACAATACTACTACTAGTAGTAGTAGTAGTAGTCGTAGTAGTCGTAGTAATACAACAACCCAGTTCAGTATCAACTGTGTCATGGTCCAAACTCTGATTCTTTTTCTCTCTCCCTGTGCCTCTCTCTATCCTTCTCCTGACCCTCCCACACTACCTCCTCTCCTCCTCCCGCTCTCCTCCCTCCTCCTCCTCAGAGGACCAGCTCTGTCTCTCTCCGCTCTTGTCTCTTCAGTCAAGGAGAAACTAATTGGAGGGAAGAATAGAAGAAAGGAGCTGGTGGGGAAACTAAACCCAAGCCAAACTTTTTACTTCTCTGCTACAACATGCCACAGAAAGGTACGTTTTCCTCCCTCCTTTCTCTCCCTCTCTCTCTCTCACTCCCTCCTTTGCCCGTTTTTTCTGTGTGATCTCCCCATCTCTCTCTCTCTCTCTCTCTCTCATTTACTCCCCCTCTCTCCCATCATCATCCTCTTTACATCACCTAAAGTTTATCAAGATACTTTTCTTTATCAGATAAGATAAAAAAAGACTGTCTTCATGGTTCATTTAAAAAAAGACATTTAGGATCTGAAAACTCAGCAGTTTGATGCTTAAAAGTGAGAAAAAAATTAAATTAAATAAATATCTCAACGTGAAACAAATCTTGTGACATTACACATTCGTGCCGATTGTTTCGTGGATTTACTCACAGCCTCCGCCTTTAATAAACCTCACTCCACACTTTATAACAGCGTCGCATCAGAAGAGGAACAGTCTTAACAAATACTGTAGTACCAGGGTTCCGTGAACGTCTCACAACTTTGTAAGATCCGGCAAAAACCCAGAAAACCTGTGTAAAAGTCGGTGAGCGTCAAGAAGAGTCGACGTTCGAACCTCCGTCACCAGGAAGTTGTGACGTGTTCATAAAAATAAAATACACATTCATTTAATACGATACAAACCAAAGGCTCTAAAACATTTTCATTTATTTCTTTATTTGTTTCTTTATTTTTATCCAAAGTGTTCACTCACTTTGAGACGTGATGCAGAAACACGTTCCACTAAAGCAGGGACAGAGGAAAGTTGGACAGAACTTCTTCTTTATTTGTCCCTGGTCCCTGCCTTAAAACAAAACCTCTATTTCAGCTTAATAATGACATTACGGTAACTGACAAACGGTGTCGATATTCTCTAGAATATATAAAGATCAGTAAACTGAATTTTATATCATATTTTATACTGACATTTTTACATATTTAAATATATGTATATTTATATAGTTCAGTTTAATCGAATCGAATCTTTTCAGAACAAAAGAAAATTAAATGCCTCATGTGGACTAATCTAGAATCTTCGACATATTCTTTCCACTGATCTGGTTTGGAGATGTTTGTCTGTCGGACCGCGGACCAGAGGTTTCTCCGTTTTATGATAAAGTAGAGGTTTCTTTAAAAACAAGTCAATATTGAAGGAAACTTTACAAACTCTACAATAAACTACTAAAACACAACACACATATTGTTGGAGTGAAGAAAACGAGTTGTTTAGGTTTAAAATATCGAGATGAATATTTTCTACGTTTCTTCATTTTAATAAAAAAATACGTAAAAAACGTATTTAAGATCCGGAAACAACTGATCACGGTTTTATCAATTATATATATTCATATATGTGTGTGTGTGTGTGTATTTGGTAGCTGTTTGCGGCCTTCACACGGAGGCCTCGGGACGAACGGTGGACCCGCAGAAATATTTGTCTTTTATATATATATATGTATATAAAAAAGACCATTTTTTTCAAGATTGTTTAAAAAGTTCCGGTCAGTCATCTTTATTCTCCAGGTTCCCACGGACCGATGATCTGACTCTGCTGTTAATGAACGTCTTAATTATATCTGAGCCAATTAACCGCTTGATGAATCACCCGACACAAACACACACACACACAAACACACACACACACACCTGAGCCACCGTTCGGCAGCGAATACACTCCAGTACCCTAAATATATTATTATTATTATTATTATTAATATTATTATTAATATTATCATTATTATTATTGTTGTTGTTGTTGTTGTTATAAAAATAATCTAAAATCACAGGCCTGTATCTCTGTAAAAGAATCACATCCAGTTCGTTGATAACAGTTTAAATTTAAAGTTTATTATTATTATTATAATTTAAACTTCTGATCGTGTATTTAAATTTAAATTTAAAAATGACTGGCTGACTGGATTTAAATAATCCAACTAAAACTAACGCGGCTGTAGCTGCACCTGAACGCATCATTTTAATACACACCTGTTTTTCTTTTTCTGAACAAACAGAAACTTCTTTGTAATTAAACTGTAATTGATGAACTCGTTTATAGTTGGAGAATAACCGACATGTTTTTAAATAATATAAACCTGTTTTTTATTTTCATTCGTGTGTGTTCTTTAGTGAAATCCGTACAGAGTCCGCGTCTTTCAGCTGACGTTATGTAATGTTCCCGCTCATCTCGGAAGAATACCACGAAATCCTCGGATATTTGATGTGGTGAAGGTTTTCTTAATAATAATAATAATTATTGTTGTTATTGTCAGGCCGGTGGATGAAGCCGCTGCCTCCTCTGCCTCCTCTGCCTCCTCTGCCTCGCTCCTTTCTCCCGCTCCGTCAGCTTGAACCGCGGCTGAATACAACTTTTCTATAGTCGTCGGCCTGTTCAACAGAACTCCTTTATGTCCGCAGCGCTGCTAAAACCGGACTCCCCGCCGCGGTTTTGTGTCGATGGTGTTTTTAACGAGCCGCAGTCTAACGAGGCAGCGACAGGGAAATCCTGCGGCCGCACAAAGACACGCAGGCGGGTATTTACCGAGCAGAGCCGCGGCTCCGCTGCCCGGCTCTTTGTCCTCCATTCAGAGGAGCACTGTGTCTGTGTGTGTGTGTGCGCGCGCGCGCGTGTGTGAGCTTGCATACATGCCATTGTGGGGACATTGTATCTGATCGCTCTCTTGTATTTGGGGACTTGTTGCATCATGTGGACTAAACTCAGGGTCCAATAAATCAGCAGTTTCTGTGAGTTGTGACGCGAATACATTATATAAAGTGTAAATAATTCACTGCACGGTACTTCAGAAGGTCACAGTTCCCTACAGAAACTAGTCCCCTGGAGGTCAACCAGAGAATGAACTCACCAAAAGTACATGGAAGGTTTATCCAGAAAGATCGTCAACAGAACGAGTTAACCAGTCAACACACAGTTCATGTGTGACGTAAAACTACAAGAAGTCATTTAGAAGTACAGAAGAACCAACAGCAATATTTACTGAAAGGTTCAAGGTTCTGGTTTCTTCTGGGTAAATTCACAATATTTCTGACACTAAAATGTTGATGCTACAAAACCTCAGTGTAAAGGTCAGAGTTCAGACGGGTTAAAGCATCAATGCAGGTCACTGATGACAGAATCAACTTCAGTCAAGTCTTTATTTGTTTTCACACTGGTTTTTCAGACCAAGCGTCAGACTGACTCTTCATCACTGATGAAGATCAACTGTAACGTCATCTCTGACAAACCTGTGGGGTTTTTTTTATTACTGTTAGGGATAACTACGGTTTCTCTTCATTTTTTAATGATTTCTAATATTTTCCATTCTCACAATCAAAGCTGGGCCTTAAACAAAACACATCTATTTTTTTATGAACTGACTATTAACATGTAATAGTCATTTACTGTACCTTTCTTTGCAGATTACAGAAGTCAACCGAGCTGGGAGGCTGGAGTGGCGTCCATGATGCAAAACAGTGAGTTTTATCCCAAAACTCTTTCTGTTGTGATTGAAGCTTCGTTTCAGGAGCGGTGAGAACGTAAACGGTTGATTTCTGCTGTGAGACAAGTGTGTGCATCTGTGTTGTTTACACAACATCAAGCTTTTTTAAGGTAAAGTGTTTCAACACTGACCCTGAGCTTTGATAAAAACTAAAATGTACATCTTTTATTCCACGAGCTGCTGAAACACCTGACTAATGGTTATGTTTTGGGTAGAAGTTTCACTTTCAGTTTTGTAAATCCATTTCACATGTTGATAGTGTTGTAAAAACACAACACTTTTACACTAGAGACTGACAAAGAACTCGTTTCATTTTTGTCTTTCTTCGGGACAAGAGGTCCATCCAGTGGTCACTGAAGGTGTGTCCAACTCGTCTTTACGAGTGGGTTTTTTTTTCTTGCATCTCTCTCCTCTGCATTTTTTCCACATTTCTGCCCATTATTCCTACATTAGTACATTATGGTTGTAAACTCTGTGCCACATCCCCCTGATACACACTTATATTTATGATATATATTTAAGGTGTTAAAGGTGAGCCGCTCCCAGGTTCAAACCCACACAGGTCTTCATCATGAACTGGGTTTGTTCTGGTGGTGGTTCACCCTCCGTGGCAGGTGAACGACGTTACTAGGCGTGCAGCATCACAGATATTATTCAGGTTCTTTCACACCCGAGTGGCCGCCGTCGGTTTCCAGGTCCCTCTCACAGTGTATCACAACGGTTGCCTCGGCTAATGTGTCAACGAACGCTGAGGTGTGACGTTGGAATAAAAAGAATAGAACGGCAACTGGTCGAAGTTCTCGTAGGGCCAGGCCTGGCCGTCAGGTGGCTCAGTGGTCCAGTTACAGACGTCGTTTAGTTGTTTGATCACTGATGGTAACAGTTCACAGAAAGAGTGAGAATTAATTGAACTCCAGCTCAGTGTGAATGAGCTGATTTAAAGTGAAAGCTGCTGAGCTGCTCCCAGGGGCCCTGCCTGCTGCGTCTGAGTGTGTGTGTGTGTGTGTGTGTGTGTGTGTCACAGAGGGACCGCAGTGAAATTGACTCCATATGTCTGTCTATTAATTGTGTGTCAGCAGAGGAAAGGCCCAGTGTGTCCCTCTGGGAAATGACACTGTGATTAACAATTTCTACGGCAGAACGTTTGAGGCCAAAACACAAAGTGAACATGAGAGAAAAGTTGGAGGAAACAGCATCGTCTGACTTCTCCCATAATTCACTGTGAACCTGTGACTGTGTCCAGTGTGATGGAAGGTGGACCTCCTTCAGAACCTTGTTTGTCCTCCAGGTCTGTGTTGTCTGTGTCTGTATAAGTGACCAGGCAGATGAAGAACATCGCTGCCCCTAATGGACCGACAAGTGTTTCACCTCATACATTAATTCAACAACTAATTGGCAATTACAAAAGACATGGAGGAAACGGACGACGTCTGCTTTCATCATGTGTCTCTGTGGAGAATATATATATATATATATATATATATATATATATATATAGAAAACTATATAAAAATACAGTAATATAATTGACAAATGTTAAATATATTACACCATATTAAAATATATAAATATACCAGCGTATCTTTTCTCCATTGGAAAGTGATTATAAATAAGCAAAAATCAGCAAAGAAAAAGTTTTTTTTTTTAATGACTTGTTAATTTTGCCTCCATCACAAAATCACTGAAGGAACTTAGTGTTTATGTCTTTGGAAAACATTAAGGAGTGACAACATTTAGAGCCAAAGCTGTTGAAAAATAATAGAAAATAAAAAATAAAAATGTAGGATGTAATTCCTTTTTCACTCACTTAATATAATATTGAGTTTTATTTGTGGTGATCTGTGTGTGTGTGTGTGTGTGTGTGTGTGTGTGTGTGCATTGATATGAATTATTAATGTTCTGTTGAGAGCTTTATAAAACTGCAATATGTTTCTCCCCCACAGAGCCATTAGGAAACAATAGACAATTGATTTGGTGTAAATCCCTACTTAACCTCTACAGACTGACAGAGTACAGACAGTCAGAGTACAGACTGACAGAGCAGTACAGACTGACAGAGCAGTACAGACTGACAGAGCAGTACAGACTGACAGAGCAGTACAGACTGACAGAG